AAATTTCCAATGAGGACTACCTTCACCCACCTGTTTTAATCCAGTTCTGGTCACATCTCTTACTTCAAAAATGAACTTGAGTTGTCTATAAGAATAATATAATATATTAATGTCGCATTAAAAAGAAATTAAAGAGCCTTATAATTTGATATTGTACGTCTTATTGAATATATCTTTGATAAAAATAATAATAATTTCATAACACATGCATGAACCACCAGAATCAATAATTAAGATATTATCTTGAGAATAAAAAAATGGTTCAATTATTCAAACAGAAAAGAGTTATGAATATCTGTCATAAAAGCACACGGAAATGAATCCTAGTCCAAATTCAGTGCTGTCTAGTTCAAGTCATTTCTGTCATGAGTACCATTGCTACGTGACCAAATGTTAAATTAACAAGTTGGGATAGTCAACTCTCTTTCATACGTTGGGATAGATATGCGTCGAGTTAGATTAAATTTTTAATCGATTTAAATTTGATATGTGAGTATTATATTTTTTTCATTGTCATTCAAGTTGACCTAAATTTAAAGAGGTTCCATTCAACTTTAAATCTGACTGAATCTTAAGGTAAAAAAATCACCGGACTTAATTTTAAGGTAAAACATGCACCCCACTAACATAAATATATATAGATAGATATAATTTTCACTTCTATTAGCTAAGATAGGGTTCTAATTGAAAATATATATAGAAGAATATCAACGTAATTATTCTTAAATATATAATAGATAATTTGTATTAATTACTATTATATTCCGATCCGACCTAATCCGACATAATTTGAATTTTCAAAGAAAAAAAAACCCCTTACCCCTATAAAATCGGAGATACAAAGACTAGTTTGAGCTCCCTGTTTATTCATAAAAAAGAGAGAGCTAAAAGTACAATACAAATGTCCATGAATCATACATAAAAGATTACAAACGTGTATACATATAACTACTTGATATCGTAGATTTCACCTACGATGCTCCGATTCTTCGTTTTTTCTTAAAGTATCATTGTCCGACACACGAGTATGGAAATATGACCTCCAAAGACCTCCGCATCTGATAATCACACCCTAATCCGAGTAACATGTTTTCTGATCATATCCTTGTCTGACACCGACACCCGAGTCTGAGTAACATTGGTTTTCACCTCCTATGAGGATTATGCAATGATTTTTGAGATCCCTCAAAGAGATCCAACAAGTAATCCTGCAGATCTTCAGCATTGTACCTGATGTGCTTCTCACCAATGTGCTGCATTTGTCTTCCGACAAATGTCCGATATGCCTGGATCACTTTCAGGGATGTTGAAATCCGTAAATCTTCTCGGAGATGAAGGTCCGGGATAACCCATGCCGTCTGTGTTTTATACACGTCTTCGAAGCAACATAAAAGCTCCTCATCTCTCCTTGAGAAGTCCTCGAGATCGAGCTGTTGCTGGAATTGCTCTCGTCTTTCAGTACGGAGAATAGTACTCCAGGTTGCTCTCTCATAGTCCATCGCGTGTTGCTGGAATTTCCAGTTGTGCTTTCGGATCCACTTGTCTCCCAATATAGACTGGACTTCCGAATTTTTAACCTTTTGAACCATGTAATGGATGTTGTTCATCAAAAAGAAGTGCTGCAGTGAAGCATCCCTATATAATTTGGATTTCTCGTAGAGGTTGGCTTCTAGGATTGAAGTGAGTGATTGCAAATGTAATGCCATTGGAGAAAGACCACCGGAAGAGTCATTACTCGTACATTCGTCCTCCGTAGCATGACTTGAGTCCGGGGAGGGTGACCTTGCCACTTCTCCGTCCTCATTCTTGAAGAGTAAATTTAGGGCATCTTTATAGTCTACAAGAAGCCTTATGTAATTCATAACATATCTGGTCAGGGGGTGATTTCCCCCTCCTGCAAAAGGGTTTGCCGATGTGTTCGATGCGACAGCATTCTTGAATTCGAGAAACGTTGCCCTTACGGAGTCAGCCAATCTCTTCAAAACCTCATAGTACTCGATTCTAATGCACGAACCAGCTTCACCCAAAACAATGCATCAATGTCCGGAAGAAGAATCTGCAAGCACCTCATACACGTCTAAAAATCGAACTAGCTTTTCCGGTTGATGAGAGCTGATAGAGATGGCCTCAGCAAAGTTCAGAAGCTGCAGCATTGGAGCCTTTGCAGCCTCAACAAAACAAACTGAACCAGCCGATCCGAGCTCCAAAAAGATCTGGTCACAGAGCCATTTCTCGCTGGCAAGATTTGGCCGGACAAATACCTTCATAGCTCGAACCCATCTCTTGATTTTCGAATTCAAGGTACCCCACTCCATCTTCAGCACATCTTCAATGCTCAATTTCTCGATTTCAAGATCCAAAAGACACTCATCCAATGCATCCTTTCGAACAATGACATATGCCTGTCGACACTCATGATCGTAGTTTGACATGAACATCGAATTGGCAATGCATTTAAGATCGTGAATCACATCAGGATGAACCAAGTCAATGATACAGTCCTCTGATGTTCGGCCGATGCTATATCTGCGTGCTGACTCCTCAAAAGAGTCATCCCCGAATGAAACCAGTGACCCACATCGACACTATCATCCTCACTCGACCTAAACGACATGTGCTCGGCTCAAATGGTTGCCTATGCTGAACAAGCAAGTACTTAAACTCTTCCTCAAGCCTCTGCATCGCCAACTGAAGAACATCATGAGCCCTACGCAACAACTCTTTCTCGTCTTCTCCGGTCAAGCACCGACTCTCCAATTCTTCGATCAATTTCTGAGCTTCTTTGGTGGCATTCAGATACTCAGAAGCTTCATTGGGACCCGAATCAAAAATCATGGGCTCGTCAGTCTCCCAACTCATAATCTTTTCCTCGACAACACTCAACCGTTCTTCAATCCCAGATTCCACACCCTCAACAACTTCATCCTCAATCATAGCCATATTCGATAACTGACTACCGAGATCTGCTAATATCTTCTTCACATCTTTCGTGAGATTCTTATTCGATCCCAATGCTCTCACTATATGCTCTGCAGCAGCAATCAAATTTTCCTCCCCTTCTAATTGTGGAGCCACTGATTCATAATCCCCCATGGAAGTTCAAAAACAAAGAAACCCTAAACTGACACTGATTCAGAAACAATGAGATGAAACCCCAAAATTACTTCGTAAAAGCAGTTCTAAACTACTATCTGCTTGAAAAATCCAATGCTATTCAGAAGTTCCAGCTAATTCAATCTAGAAATTGATAAAAAAATGGAAACTTAAAAGAAAGTAATCAACATGAAAAAGATCAAAACAAGCAATCATACAAGAAACCCAGATTTTAGAGACCCAAATCACAACAAAACACAAATTCAAACACAAAGAAGCTGGAGATACATGATGAAGCCATCAAAAGAAGAAAGAAAGCTCTTTCTGTAGCAGGACAAGACGAAAGAGAATAAAGTCATTTGAATGTACGGAAAGTACAAGGGAAGAGACTAACCTGAAAACTGGGAGATTTGGGTAGGCTTTCAAAGAAGGGAATTGCAGTTTTACTTAGCAGCTTTTTGCATCTATTTGTGGGAGATTGCAACATTTCCACGTTTGTGGCTTTGACTAGTTTTGTCCACGCGTAAGAAATTGGTATGATGTTGAAAAGACCTTTAAAGTTTGCCTTTTTTCAATTATACCCTTAATTTTTTTCTTTGATAAATTAATCACCAAAGGTTTTTTTTTCTGTGAACCATTTGGAAAACGTTCGTTTATTAAGTTAAATAAATAAATAGAAATAAAATTTTATGTTTATTTAATAAATGAACGAACACGAATTAAGTTATGTTTTGACTTGTTAATTTTTACGAACAAGCTACCTTGAAAGCTCATTAAGTGACTCATTTATAAGCTTATTTATTCGGTTCTCTTTTTCTTTTTTATATTTTAAATATTGGAGAAAATAGAGACTAAACTGAAATTTCATCATTTTCCTTTGACTCGGAAATAAAAGGATTAAAATAAACTAATGAATATGTTGGTAAACGTTAAACAAACCAAATACGAACACTTTCAAAAATAAATAAACGAACATAAAAAATTTATCCATATTCGTCTATTAAATGAACATAAATTTTTTGTTCACTCCTTTATTTAATTTAATAAATGAACATTATACAAATAAATCATAAATAATTCGTCGAACATTATATTCATTTACACCCTAAATTATAGCCCATAGCAACACGAATTTGTTCGATAAAGTGGAAAGTTTAATTTTTTTTTTCACTCAACCAAACATAGTTCATCAGATATCATCTCTTAAAAATGATTGTATGAACATTATATTCTACCATGGCAAATTCATGAAAAAAGCTTAAGCAAATGCTTCAAGACGGGTATAAAATTCTTCCACCGCAAAGAATGAAAGTAGTAATTTACATAGTTGCAACTGTCAAGACTTGTGATAGCTCATCTCATTCCGATCGAACTTCATAACACTGAATCGAACCAAAATCTCCATCTATTTCGAGTTCACAGTCGGACCTTCCTAAGAAACAGCATCATTGATGGTCACAGATATTGCAAGGTCCGGTGGAAGGGTCTTACCGGGACAATTTATGAGCCACCCCTTTAACTTAGCTTCCAACTCTTCTTTGGAGACAAACTTCTCTTCTTGTCCAGGTTCTAGTAGAACATGGGTTTCTGTTCTGCCATTCTCCTCCTGGTTGCACAAATCTGATGAAAAATAAACCGAGTAAAGATACCCGAAGACCGAAATGAAAGAAACGGTAACAAGGTGAAGTTTTTAAGAGTTTCGAATGCTTCCTATTCATACTACACTTCCGAGTCACAGGTTATTGAGAATTGATGACATTTACAATTGTTACACAAAGAATTGGAACTGCTTAAACGAGCATATACCACGTAACTAAGGAAGATTTGTGGTGATAGACTTGAAATGCAAATAAGCATTTGGAAGAAATATTTACCATATGGCATTGCGATGCCCGTTACCCACGGGATTAAAATTCTCAGATCCGCATGCCGGACTTGCTTGAAGAAATGATGTAAGAGTGTAATTCGATAAGAAATTACCTGCAAACAATGGAAGTGATGACATCATCGGCAACATAGTATATATGACCCATCTCACTTGTAATGGAAGTCATATTCTTTGAATTCTGGTTATCAATTTGAACAATGTGCTTTCTGTATAAGTTTTTAAAGTTTATTCAGACAATTTCAGGTCAAATTTATTAAGACAAGATTTTTAATTGTCAACAACAAATCAGTAAACTCCATGTTGGTTCCACAGATGGCGAACTTACCACTCCCCACTGCCTATTTTTTCTTCCTTTTGTTCTATGTAGAGACCAACCACATTGAAAAAGGTTGATGCTGCAATAACTGAACAACAGTCTACTCAAATTGTAGCTAATCTGTTGTTAATAATGAGCTCAAACCCCTATTTATGGGTCATATTATGACACGAAATTACTCGTGAATGACATCACAGCCATTCAATGAATGTCATATCAAGAAAAAAAATAATGTGTGAATCCGATGCTAAAAGCAGACGATTTCATACTGCTTTCTGTGCCTTGAACCAAAGTGCAAATAGAATGGCTAGAACTCAACATTACCAGATTATACAGGCTTCTGATAGCAGAAGATAGTAAAATGACAAATAAATCTCGAGCTGATTCTTAGCAAGGGCTTCACGATCAGTTGCAGAATCTCTATACGAGGCATCCCCCAAACCAAATTTTGGGATTTGCATAAAGAAGAAAGGTGTCAAGGATGCAATGGGTAGCTCGAAGGCAGTTAGCAGCAAATAATTTCATCTTCATCAGGAAACAAAGTATCATCTCTCAGAGGTTCGTATCCAACATCCTTCATATGATCTACTAGCATGATGATCAATTCATATATCTTTTCAATCTGAGAATGGCCCTCATCTTTCACCACAAACTCATGTCGTACATTCCTCACCTCAATCCAACTATAAGCAGCTTCTTTTCTTAGACCTCTCTCCTCCATGAGCCTTTTCACTGCTCGGGAATCATCCCATCTTCTAGCTGCCGCATAGACATTTGATAACATTATATATCTGGCAGCATTTTTTGGTTCCAGTTCAAACAGAGCCTCCGCTGCCTGCCTAGCAAGACCTAAGTTATCATGGATCCGACAAGCACCTAAAAGCGAACCCCATATGCCAACACAATTCGTTCCATTAAGAGTTCTCTTAATCATATTCATGGCCTCCTTAAGCTTGTTTTTCTTTCCAAGCAAATCAATCAAGATTGCATAATGATCAGACCTAGGGGTCACACCGAAATCCTTTTCCATCAAGTCCAAAATCTTCATTCCTTCAGAGATTAGACCTGCATGACAACAAGCAGATAATGCCCTGAGAAATGTTACGTGATTTGGCCTTACATTTGCCTCTATCATCATTCTGAACACAATAAGTGAGTCCTCTCCATGCCCGTTTTGAGCAAACCCGGTTATTAATGAGTTCCATGAAACAATATCCTTCTCATGTATCCTCTCAAACAGTAATTTAGCTGAGTTCATGTCTCCGTACTTGCAGTACATGTCAATTAAAGCATTAAATACAAACAGGTTCAAAAAATCACCTCTGCTGCCAACTCTAACTATGTGCGCATGGATCTGTTTACCTTTCTCAATAAGTGCTAAATCTGCACAAGCACTTAAAACAGCAACAAATGTGTAAGCATTAGGCTGCACCCCTTCATCCAACATCTGCCGAAAAAGATCCAACGCCTCCTTTCCACAACTATTTTGAGCAAAACCAGTGATTAAACCAGTCCACGATAGTGTATTCTTAATCGGTGTTTCCTTAAATACACGAAAAGCATCCTCCAATCTTGAGGCTTTAGCATAAGCAACCACCATAGAAGCCCATGAAACCACATCCCTTTCACTCATTTGATTGAAAATCCTATACGCAGTATCCACTTCCCCACATTTCCCATAAGCATCAATCAAAGCATTGTAAACAATCAAATTCATATCCAAACCAAAAACAACCGTAAAGCTATGAACTTGACATAAAAATCTTAGAGCACCTAATCTAGCGCAAGCACCAACAATACCAACAGCCGTACAACTATCAATAACCATACATTCCTTCAGTGTTTTTTGGAAAACGAGTACCGATTCCTTGTAAAACCCGTGCTGGGAAAACCCAGAAATCAGTGAATTATAACTAACAAGGTTTCTCCTTGGCATTTGATCGAGCAACTTGCAAGCCCTATCAAAGTGGCCACGTTGGATAAACCCAGAAATAAGAATGTTCCAAGAATGGCTGTTTTTCACCAGAAGTTCATCAAAAGCCCTTTGGGCACTTTTTGTTTCTTTGAATTTTGAGTACATGGCTATAAGATGGTTGGTTATAAAGGGTCTAAGAGTCAGAGCCTTTTTGATGAACTGTGAATGTAAAAGCAAGCCTAGGCTCAAGTTCTTGCTTTTGATGGCTTTTGAGATGAGAAATGTGAAAAAATAATCAAGACCCAAACCTTTCATTGTTGTTCTCTTTTTTGTGGTTGGGAGTTTGTTCTACCTTCTGAAATTCATGAAGATTTTTTAAAAGTGCATTCACAGATTAAAGATAAGCTTAAATGGGCAAAGCTTACGGTTTATAGAGTTGATGAAACCCATTGTTGAAAAACTTTTTCTCCATTAAATATAGTGTTTTTCTTTTTGGTGAAATGAGTTCAAAATGTTGAGAAAGAAGATATGTTGTTTAAACACAAATTTTAGGTTTTTGAAGATGTCTAATTTACATATGTGACCTTAAGTTACTGGTATATTCCCTTTACAGTCCTCTTTTCTTTTTATTGATTCCAATAATTATAATTATAACTTTGTACTGAAGTAAACTTTATTGATTCTTTATTGCAAATTAACTTTATTTATTAACAAAAAGATAAAACTATATTGTGTCCTTAATCATTTTTCAATATTCTAATTTGAAGTCCAGATCCAAGGTGTGGGCACGGAAATTAGAAACCTTATAGATTGATGCAATAGATTAGTACTGATTTGAAAATGTAGTTAAAAGTAGGAATATTTACGTAAATAACAAAAGTTTTGTACCCTTTCTATAGTTTTCCCATGATATAAACAAAAGAAACTTCTAAAAAACAGAGAAAGACGAAAGCAGGAGTCATTCATTGCGGAATTCTCTCTCCCCCCAAACAACCCGAAAAAATAGGGTTAGGGTTTTAAAGAACCCAAACCAGAAGTAAAAATACCCAGATTTATATCATCAAACTCTTGTTGAAAACCCCTAAAAAAGAAGCTCCTTTTAAGGTTTTCTCTTTGGAGTATCCTTTGAAAAGTTCATATAGAAAGATGGGTTGCTTTTCAGCTTTAGCTCTCGAGTGGCAGCCATTTTTCTTAGTCTTCTGTGTACTAAGCTGTGTCGTTTTCAGTGATGATTCTTCAGACAACGATGTTCTTCTCGAGTTTAAGGAGTCTGTCTCAGATCCTTCGGGGCTTTTATCCACTTGGTCTGAGAATTCCCATCACTGTTCATGGTCTGGTGTTACATGTGACAAAAACTCCAAGGTTTTGTCTCTTAACATAACTGGTTTTGGGAATGGGCCAAAAGGTAACAATCTCAACAATTCAGCTGGTTCTTCTTCATTTTCTTGTTCTGATTACAGTTCATTTCCACTTTATGGTTTTGGCATTAGAAGGAACTGTGGGGAAAGTAAATGGAGTTTTTTTGGAAACCTGTCGCCTTCCATTGGAAAATTGAGTGAACTTAGGGTTTTATCACTTCCTTTCCATAGATTTCACGGTGAAATTCCTTCTGGAATTTGGGGCTTGGAGAAATTGGAAGTGCTTGATTTGGAGAACAGTTTGTTATCTGGCAAATTACCTGTTAGCATTTCTGGGTTAAAGAATTTGAGAGTTCTTAATTTGGGATTTAATAATATTAGTGGAGAGATACCTGGTTGGCTTTCGAGTTTGAAGCGAGTGGAAATGTTGAACTTGGCTGGTACTCTTGTGAATGGAACCGCTCCTGCATTTCTCGGAAGGTTTAGAGGTGTTTATTTGTCGTTTACATGGTTGGGGGGGTCATTGCCGGCTGATATTGGTGAAGATTGTAGGCTTGAGCATTTGGATTTGTCGGGGAACTACTTTGTTGGATCGATTCCTGCTAGTTTGGGGAAGTGTAGTCGGTTGAGGTCGTTGTTGTTATATACCAATATGTTTGAGGAAGGTATTCCAGGCGAAATTGGTCAGCTTCAGAATCTGGAAGTGTTGGATGTTTCAAGGAATAGTTTGAGTGGTCCGATACCTGTTGAGCTCGGGAATTGTTCTGCTTTGACTGTGCTTGTGCTTTCAAATATGTTGAGTCCGTATGATAACCTTGCCATGATTAAAGGGGATGCAAACTATGTAAACGATGATTTTAATTTTTATCAAGGTGGGATTCCAGATGAAATTACAAAGCTTTCAAAGCTGAGGATATTATGGGCTCCCAGAGCAACGCTGGAGGGCAACTTACCGAGTGATTGGGGTTCTTGTGATAGCTTGGAGATGGTAAATTTGGCACAGAATTTTTTTTCCGGGAAAATTTCAATTGGTCTTACTCTCTGCAAGAAGATGAGGTACCTTGACTTAAGCTCAAATAAGCGCCTTACTGGAGAGCTTGTTGAGAAACTTGCAGTTCCTTGTATGAGTGTCTTCGATGTCAGTGAAAATTCCTTGTCGGGTTATATCCCAAGATTCTACAACCAGGGATGCCCTGATGTTCTTACCTCAGATTCATATTCCTCTGAACCCTTCAACCCATCTTCCGCGTATTTATCATTTCTGGCTAGTAAAGTTCATGCCGGAACATCTAGCGGATTTCTTGGCAGAGAGGGTGGTCCTGCTGTGTTTTACAACTTCAGAGCTAACAACTTCTCTGGGAGTGTCTTGTCAATGCCGATTGCGCCACAGAGATTGAACAAACACATTTCTTATGCATTTTATGCCGGTGAAAACATTCTCAGTGGACCATTTCCTGGAAATTTGTTTGAGAACTGCAATGGATTGGATGCACTGTTTGTAAATGTTAGCTACAACAGAGTGTCTGGTCGGATTCCTGATGAAATCGGTAAACTTTGCAAATCTCTCAAGTTTCTGGATGTGTCTACGAATCAAATAACTGAGTCGGTTCCCCCGAGCATTGGAGACTTGGTTTCACTTGTTTCTCTTAATTTGAGCTGGAACCTGTTACAAGGCCTGATTCCAAGCAGTTTCAGTCAGATGAAGGATCTCAGGTTTCTTTCTTTGGCCGGTAACAATCTGACTGGATCTATTCCTTCCACACTCGGGCAGTTGCAATCTTAGAAAAGCTGGAGCTGTCGTCAATTCTCTTTCTGGTGAAATTCCTGAAAGTCTGGCTAACTTGAGAAACCTGACTGTTCTTCTGCTCAACAACAACAAACTCTCAGGGCGAATTCCCTCTGGTTTAGCAAATGCGGCTATGCTCTCTTCTTTCAACGTGTCCTTCAATAACTTGTCCGGGCCACTGCCATTGAGCAATAATTTGATGAAATGCAGCAGTCTTCTCGGAAACCCTCTTCTCCAGCCTTGCCGTTCATACTCCTTAATTCCATCTTCAGACCAAGCAGAGTGGGATTCACAAAATTATGATGCATCTCCACCGGAACCTGTAACTCGAAAGAATAGAAATAATGGTTTCCGTTCCATTGAGATAGCGTCAATAACATCTGCTTCCGTCATTGTTTCTGTTCTTCTGGCTCTTGTTATTTTGTTCGTATTTACGAGGAAATGGAATTCAAGATCCAAAATCAGCACCACCAAAAAGAAGTGACTATTTTCACCGAGATTGAGGTCCCTTTGACATTTGACATTGTCGTGCAGGCCACTGGGAATTTCAATGCTAGCAACTGTATTGGGAATGGAGGCTTTGGGTCAACTTATAAAGCTGAGATCTCTCCTGGAGTTTTAGTGGCAATAAAGCGGCTTGCAATAGGGCGGTTGCAAGGCTTTCAACAGTTTGATGCTGAAATTAAAATCCTTGGGAGGTTGCGCCACCCGAATCTTGTCACTTAATTGGTTACCATGCCAGTGAAACGGAGACATTCCTTGTATACAATTATTTGCCAGGCGTAACTTGGAAAAGTTTATTCAGGAGAGGTCCACCAGAGCTGTGGATTGGAGGGTACTCCACAAGATTGCTTTGGATATAGCCCGTGCTCTTGCCTACCTACACGATCAATGTGTTCCACGAATCCTCCATCGTGATGTCAAGCCGAGCAATATCTTGTTGGACGATGATTACAATGCTTATTTATCTGACTTTGGTTTGGCCAGACTTTTGGGAACTTCAGAAACGCATGCTACCACTGTGTTGCTGGAACATTCGGGTATGTTGCTCCCGAATAGCGATGACTTGCCGTGTTTCTGATAAGGCCGATGTATATAGTTATGGGGTGGTGCTCCTTGAGTTACTCTCTGATAAGAAGCTTTAGATCCCTCGTTCTCTCATTACGGAAACGGTTTCAACATCGTTCAATGGTCCTGCATGCTCTTGCGACAAGGCCAAGCCAAGGAGTTCTTTACCGCAGGTTTATGGGATGCAGGTTCCCAAAATGAATGGTAGAAGTTCTGCACTTGGCAGTCGTGTGTACAGTTGATTCTCTCTCAACTAGACCTACGATGAAGCAAGTAGTACGACGGCTGAAGCAACTTCAGCCACCATCGTGTTAGGTTCATGATAAAAAAGCTTGCGTTGATTGACATAGTGCTCGTAGGAGGTAAGCCCCACGGCTTGATCATTATCATCCCGATCGATCCTTTGGTAGAGTTCTAAACTGTAGCTATTGCCCACTTGTAAATTGTAACAGTTTTACCCCTATTTTTCGATGCTATTTCTTGGATAAAAGGGGTTCACTGATGACTGCTGATGGATACAGATTTTTTCTCTTCATCCAAATTCTAAACTTGTAAGTTTCATTTGATGTCTAATAATAGAATAGAGTATTTCATATATATTACACAGATTATGACTGGTGATGTTGCTCCATTACATATAGGAGATCTAAAGCTAAATCAATGCCTCTTGCACTTGAGATTTCAATGATCATATATTTCTATCACAATCACCTTTTTAAGGGTCGTTGAATGTTAAATGAGTAGAAATGACTTGAAATAGATAGAAATAGACCGATAATTCGTTAGATAAAAAACGATTGAAAGTTCATTTATTTGAAACCTGCATTTCTCTTTTATTTCCTCAATCCTGGGCGTTTTTCCAAAAAAAAAAAAAAATACCGTTGATCGGTATATTTATCGATCTAACACCGGTCAGATTATATTTTTCGATCTAACACTCTTTGTAGTAATGCGAGCCTTCTGCAGCGCGCTATACGTTGATTTGGTGCCACGTGGGTAAGACGCCCCCTTGCGACGCGTCTTATGCTGACATAGATTACACGTGAGTATGGCGGGGGTAGGATGGTAATTAAGGGTATAGCGTGCCGAAGGGCCGCGCCTTACCTGTGATTCTGACATGCGTCAGAAAGGCGCGGCCCCTGCGACACGCTATACCCTTAATTACCATCCTACCCCCGCCCGTTCACACCTATCCCTACCTATAAATACCCCATTCTCAATCACTTTTATCACACCAAATCCTATCAACTTCTCTCAAATACTC